ATGTGTATGTTAGCGTGACATATATTATTAAAATGATAATGACCATGAAAGCATAACAACATAAATGAATGATTGGTCTGAAGCGAGACCAATCATTTATCTCTGCATAACAATTTATTTCTTTAATAAAAACCTTCCAACGTAGGATCACTTGAGAACGGGTTTTTTGCCGTGTTCATAGATTTAAAAGAAAGTAGAAGATCGACGGTTTTACGTGGCACGAAGTTGGTAAGAAGGTGCCCAAGGTGCACATTTATAGTCACCCATTCGTTCACCACCCACAACAAAACTTAACCACTTAATCGCTGATCAAACGCGGCAAACTTGGTCATCGAACTCCATTACTCTTTGTAGTTAAGAAGGTACTTTCAACATGTCCGTTCCTTGTTAGTCTGTCCGTAAATTAGATCTAAGATCTAAGACCCACTTGCAGTGAATTCACTAAAACTCAATTCAATTACAACTAGATATAGCCCATACCATAATGTGTAAAACGTTAATGTTTTGACGTTTTAACATTTCTTTTATTTAATTGTATGAGCTAAATCAAATTTTAGTTAAAATAAGATTTAGAAAAAAAATTGCTGCAAGTGGACCTTCAAACTAAAAAATTGTATTTGACATTGATATAAATATTTGTTTCTTAGGTTTTCGCGCACATCACTCATTAAATAAAAACTAGCAAACCAGTGAACCAAATGTTCACAAAAAAAATGTATTTAATTAATTGAGAACTTCGGAAATTTTGTGTGGTTTCCTTTGAAATTCGTGATTTCTCGAAAACCGGAAGTGCTACGTTACTCAAATCTGGTTTGTAGACTTATCAGACTACAGACCATTCTTAACTTATAACTTAAACATTCTCTTTATCTATCTCTTACGGTTTGGCCGCTGAAACAGCACCAGACAGACGGTCGGACGGACGGACGGACGGACTTGTCTAATAGATAAGAGATTTGATATAAATGATTGATATAAAAACTAAAAAAATATACTGATACGATGCCTCGCTTACACGCAATGTGGTATGGAATATAGTTGGATAGTATGTCTTTCATAAATATTTGTGGTTTATATTAAACTTCTTTTTGCATGCATTGCGCGTCGCATAACACAAACATTTGTCTGATTTTTTTAATATTATAAGTATATTTGCAAGCATATAACTTTTAAGCATTCTTTGCTCTCAAACTGCATCAGAACTCTTACAAAGTAAGTGATAAATATTCCGATTAAGTTATAAAATAAAACAATATATCCCTAAATTGATCGACACACAAATACGCATGTACATACATCGCATCTTTTTGATACGCTACAAAATAACATGCCAGGAATTTCCAAATCCTACGATAACATGCTATAACAAACTACAAACTTCAAAAACACTTTATCAGTTTAGATTGTTACAGGCACTCCTTAAAGCCGATCTTCAGAGATTTTTGTACAGGGCGCAGGTACTTTAATTGTTAATATTAGGACTTCGATAAAAGCTTGTAAAGCATCTTAAATGCGTCTATCTTTATAAAATTCTTTACTGTGAGTAGGTATCTTACAAAATTTAATCTGTCAATCCGGCAGAGCTGATAGATCAGATTTCAAAGATACGTATTGAATAAATATAGGTTGCGGACTCAAAAGCACCTAATTCAGGAAATACGATTCTAAACTTTCATAGACGCAATCGCAGACAGAAGCCTGTTATAAAAATCCAATAAAAGTATAATTTAACCGGTGAACTGAATTAATTACATACATCTCACACTCAAACAAAGAGCACCGCTGAAACGAATTCCTATCATACATTGCGCCAGATGGAATACGTATTATGATATGACTGGAATCATAAATTGAATTTGGTTATATTGTAATGAGTACATGTCGACGGGGATTGTGTATTGGGTTGATCTTGAATTCGATCACGTACCGTAAGCTTGATTTATGTATTCTAACCACCTCTGGTATACCTGAAGGCCAAGATTTGATTACTTACGGCGGACTGAATTTTCTCCGTTTCACCAATAATACATTGGCCACAAAGTTGCTTGCGCGTGAAATAAAGAATAACTGTTTTGATCTAAGTATATTTTTTCTATAATTGGGATCTTTCAACTTAGTACTAAATTCAATTTTACTACAACTTTTTATTTAGTGTTTCCTGGTTCCGGTGTCCATAGAAGTAAATCTAGCTTATTTTAGGTTATCTGCCGATTAGGCATTTTCATGCTAATAGTAAATCAAGTGTCATAGAAATTACTAAATTAAGTACTTAACCACAAATGAAACAATCTAAATAGTACAAAAACCTATTTTCCAAATACTTATTACGCTTCTATTTTTTTTTAAATACAGATGTCTTAGATTGTCCTCGGAATTGATTAAACTAATACAGTCCCTCGTCGTACCAGGTCCTGTCATTTGTTATAATGTCCCATGCCATTATACTAACTACGGTCAAATGCTGTGTTTTCTCGGCTACCAAGACTTTATAACGATAAATTTAGTTAGGTTGACCCTTTTGTCGATCTCAGTCCAAGCTTTATGAATTATTTTATTAATTGTGATTACTATTTTTTTACGACGACCTCCGTGGCGCTTTTGTTATGTACAGAAAGTTAGGTTAGGTTTGAAGGCGTTGCCCACTCAGAGGTCCCGGGTTTGAATCGCGGTGGGGCAAATGTTAGTAAGAGTACGCACGAGCATTTGTACCTAAGTTATGGATGTTCATATGTATTTCTAGATTATTTACTTATAATTTTGTATCCGTTACCTAGTATCCCATAACACAAGCCTCTCAGTGCTTACTTAGGGCATGGCTTATTAATATGAGTGTGGCGCTTATATATTTGATATCTAAATATTAACAAAAAAAAATCTAGATAAACTCCACTTGGTCCAGGTTTCTTATTTTCGTTTGATATATAGTTGATACAAGATAATCAATGAAGAAAAAATTTGCCAACTTGGACATCTGTCATATGTTTTCTGATGGTTAAAGTTGACTTTCGATATTTTCTGAAGATCCTACCATTGGCATTTGGAACAAGATGAAAGAAAGGAAATAATAAGAATATTTAATATTGACACAATTTACATGTTAAATAATCAACATTAGATGGCGCCGATATCGCTAACTTGACAGTGCTTGCTCTACGTAAACCCTTTTTTCGTGTCAGTCCAACTTTATAAGAATTGAAATAACTGCCTACTACTACTACTATTGTAAGGAGCCTAAAAGTGGATCCAGCTAGGCTACAGATATATGATGCAATATCAATGTAAATCTACCATTACATCTGTACTATCGTCGACTTGACTTAAAATGAGGAGACCGTTTTGTACATGCTAAGGTAAGAGCTATTCATAAATATGCCCTTTGAAGCAATATAACTGGGGAGCTTATTGTGGATAAATACCGACGCCATGTCGTCAGTTCGATTGCTAGGCAACGGATACACTATTCTTGAACTCTACAACAGCGCTATCTGCAGCCTATCCTACTATCCCTATCTTACGGTCCTATCCCTTCAATGCCCCTAGACACCATGTTAACATGGGAACTTTAGCCAAGTGACGGCGCAAATAGCACTATACTAACACATGTAGCTATTTCATTTATCAATCCAATATCACAGATCACCTTGCCCAGACCATCGAAATGAGTAATGCATCACAGATTCTCCTAGGGAGAGCTAAAAACGTCGTGCGGCCAACAATAAATTTCGCTAGAGTCAGAAGGAACAAAATAAGGGATGTAGCGAAATATCCCATATCCTCAGGGACTAGACATCGCCGGCGGCCAGCGGCGGTGCACGTGACATTCCATCGTAATATAGTTACGGCAATAGTTTCAATTATTTACTCCCAATGTTGGAGTACATAAATAATTCATTTAAGAAGATATCATTAAGGTACTTTTATATCCGTCTAGAAATGTTTATTGTAGAAGCGTTTGATTAGTGCATAATAAATAAGTAACAAGCATTAGTGAAGTTATTAGTAAGTTAATTCAGAAGAATCAAAAATGGGACAAAATTATAATTACTCGTTCATAAATATTTCCAAAGTAAATCATAATAGTGAAAAAAAACAAATCAACATTTTACCACTCCACGTGAGAAACCAAATTCCTTTTTCACAAAAAATATATTCGATCATAGGAAGCCGTGACTAATCATAATGAATGTAGAATATTCAAGTCTCAAGCAGTGTTGGCCGAATCTTGTTTGACCTTTACAGTGTACATGTAAGGGTCATGCAATACACAATAATACTCCATCGTCATCATCAGCCTATTAATATCTCCACTGCTAGGGCACAGGCCTTCTCTTAGATGGAATAGAGAGAATGCGCCATGGCCCGGTACGCTGGCTCAGGGCAAATTGGTGGGTGCTAACGACTGCAGGCATGACCGACGGCATAACGTATCTTCCAAAGCACGAAGGAACTAGAGATACAAAATTTTTGGTTTCTCGTTCAATGACCGATTTTTGCGAAAGTTGCTTACTTCCACGGTCGCATACTAAACGCGCATACAACTTGCGTCATCCAGCTCCTTATTTATTTTCTACATACTTGTTAAAAACTCTGTTTCATTTATTTGATGACGATCTTTTGGAGCAATGGATGCGCTCACTCCACGCTCCAAATGCCTAGACTTCGAATCACCATCCCCTACCGGGCATTTATTTGAGTCCTTTGCTATTGTTGATCTTGCGTGCTACGCAAACTCTTTGCAACGCAAGATTTGCTGTTCATTTTTTATTCAGCGTGCCAGAGACAGGCAAGATACCGGCCATCTATTTGTGTGATAACTCTTTCATCGTTCCTACTTTACAAACTCTTTGCCATTATTCGTAGTTGTACGAACTCGGCCTCCGCGACATTCAGCTGAGCATGCCAGAGGCCTTCGGGCTGATACTCAGTCTCTATTGGGCATTTATTTATATGACATTACTCTCATCTTGTCTGTTTGACAATCTCCTTGCAATTGTTCGTAGGTGTACTCGGCCTCCGGGACATTCAGCTGAGCGTGCCAGAGGCAGTTGGGCTGGGCGCCACCGCGACCCTCGGCTGCCGCTGGTCCCTGGATACGGGCGAGACACTGTATACCGTCAAGTGGTACCACGGTGCGCAAGAGTTCTTCAGGTTCGTGCCCAAGGAGTTGCCCAACACCAGGGTGTTCTCGCAGACGGGGATCAGCGTTGACGTAAGTATTTTTTATATATATAAAATATTGTGACTCACATGAAGACGTGGATACGCAACAATGTATTGTAATTGTTAAAGAATGCAATTCATTAAAATCTTATTTTTTTATTCTCTTATATTTTTAGAGGCAATGATAAGCACTAAAACTAAAACAATATCATACAAACATATCTTTGGATTTTAATATAGTGTCATCTATATTTCCATAGACAAATGATTGGTCTATATTTCCGTGATTAAAATTAATACCTAGCGTTTATATTATTAGAGGAGCTCGATGGCGCAGGTGGCTAGCGCGTTCGGCTGCGATCGTTGAAGTTAAGCAACTTTCACAGTGGTCGGTCATTGGATGGGTGACCAAAAATTTACTATCTCGAGCTCCTCCGTGCTTCGGAAGGTACGTTAAGCCGTTGGTCCCGGCTGCATTTGCAGTCGTTAGCACCCACCAATCCGCACTGGGCCCGCGTGGTGGGTCATGGCCCAATCTCCCTATTCCATCCATAGGGAAGGCCTGTGCCCCAGCAGTGGGGACATTAATAGGCTGATGATGATGATGATGATGACCTAGCGTTTATACATCATTGTCACGCTGAGATCGAAAAAAAGGAGACGAGTAAACAATAAGAGAATAAATACGGTTTGCGATCGGCTTTTTATAACCACTTTCAATTAACGCCCGGGAAATCAAACGATTGCAATTTCGTAACTGTCCACATCAGCCGAACCGTTTAAGTAAATGTTAAAAGGTAAATTCCTATTGACGATAAACAAGAATCGGGAAGTTATACCATCAACATCAGAGGCAACACAGCGCCTCCATTGTCGACTATATCGCGGCTGATTAACCTATAATGATGTTGAGTCTGATGCATGATGATTGATGTGATGTATGATGCAAATGAAACCAATCATTTTCATCTGCACCATTAATGGTGCAAGGCAATGGTACATTCGTTACAATGTTAGATTACCATGTAACTAATACCAAAGAAAACTTGTAATATACCCATTAAAATATACCAAGGGTCGGCAACCTTTTGCTATAGCAGGACCACAAATATAGCCTGAGTATCAGTGCAGGCCGCACGTTTTTTTTATGTACATGTATTTTTAATATTTGGAATAAAACGCATATCTATGTTTTAGTCATATATTCATGCAATCATGTCTGTTTAAATAGAATTACTATCATCACGAAAGACGGCCACAATCTTTGGGGCTGTAATTTCATATGGATATGGGCATAGTCCAGCAGTAGAATACTATACTAATATAAAAGTAAGAACTAGTGAGATTTTTGCAGCTGCATTTGACTTGCAAGTTTTTTTACTGTCTGGATTCATTTTAGACCTAGACACGCGCAGTATCGCGTCTACATGATCATACGTTAATCAATTCTTATTTTTACAGTAGTTGAGAATAGAAAAAGTCTGCTCACACAAATATGTACTACCAAACACAGTGATTATCTTCTGAGCAAACTTTTTCAATTCCTTGAAATTTCAGAACTCGAACCTCTAAAGAACTGTCAGTGCCACATGCTTTTCTTAAATGACGTTTAAAGTGTGCTATTACTTTGTAACATGGTACATTATTAATATCAATTGCAAAAGGGTTTGCAAAATTTCCATGATATTTTTAAAGTCGGCGAATCGATTCTCAAACTCAGTTTGTATTAGTGTGAACACGTTTTTCGTTGTAATATTTAGCCATTTAAATTATTTATAGCTTCTTCCACGGCTTTTTTGCAATTAGGAAAATGGTCAAGCTTTCTTTTATCAATATGCTTGATAAATAGTTTCAGTTTCATCTCAAATGTCAATTTACATCTGAATACATATCGCAAATCAATTTGTATTTTTCCTGCAAGCATTTGTCGAGCTGATTTAATTCCATAGTCGAATCGGTCAAAAACCGAAATAGATAATCCACTGTTTGTTAGTGAGCACTTCGACTGGCTTTTCTTTTATCTCCATGAAATTTCCAATATCTTTCCTCAAATCAAAAACCGTTCCAGAACGGAACCTCGGCTGTGACACCCCACTTCACAGTAGTAAGCCACGTCGCCATGATCAACTTCCAGATCTCCCAAAAACTTTTAGAAGTGACGGTGTGTGAGCCCATTTTGTCTTATAAAATTAACAGTGGATGTTACACTATCCATTTTTTTTTTCAGAATATAACCTTGGAGCTTAATGCCTCTTGATAGACAATACAGTGAAAAATCACTGGTACAGTAAATCCAGAGTTTTTCACTTTGCTAATAATTCTCCCAACAACACCTTTGTTTTGACCACTCGTATTTTTGCCTCCGTCAGTTCTCAGCTAAATTGCAATGACTCCAGGGCTTGTTCCAAATGGTAATGGTAAATGTAATGGTAATATGAGTAGCAATGATGTATCCAACACGGCTGTATTTTCATCCATCGCTAAAGAGAAGCAGTCAAAAGACTGCGCCTTATCCCTGAGTTGTTTAAACAAATTAGCACCCAAGTCTTCGGTACGTCGGATACAAGTTCTAGCAGAGAGACCAAGACTTATAATTTTTTTTTCTGCTCTGAGCATATTTCGTCTGCGATAGCTAAGTCATACTCTTTTACTCATTCACTATATCAGTAAACAGACGTCCACTTTTTGCTTGAATCTCTACTATCCTGTAGCTGGCACGAACATTCGATTCGCTGTTGTCTACTATAACCTTAAATATGTTTTGCTTATTTTTGATGACGATTTCAAAGTGGAAAATTTCCTTTTACGTTTTTCTCTTTCAAGTGGAAATTAAGCTTTGTGCTCAGCGTCGCCATGTCTCTTCAAGTTATATTCCTTTACTAAATATTCTTTTGATAAAAAATATGATTCTCTCCATAATTCGTTAAAAACTCTTTTTTATTCTTCGATCTTCCTTTTTCTTGAAGCCATGTTTATTTAATTATTCTGTAACAATGATGAAGACATTTTCAATTTTGTGTAAAATATAAATTACATATGTTCGCGCTGATGTTCGTAATATAAAATAGAAAATTATGGTATCAAATAAAGAATTTGTAATGAAAACATGTCATAACTATCTAGTCTAGTAGTATCCCCGTCATCATAATATTTACCCATCAATCTGAAGGTCCACATAAACAAGCAGTAAATATAATAATTATAATAAATTACTCGCAAGTGCATACAATGTGCTTACCTCATACGTCGTGACAAGCTATCAGCGATAGGAAGAAAGGTGAAATGAAACGCGTAGCCGGCAACCAGATGAGACGTGATTTTTTGCCGAATTTCAATAACGGAATTAGGCGAGAACTGCGCTCGGCTATGATTCTAACTAAAGCCGGTCGCTTTGATTTTTTCCGCCTCCGTACACCTGCGTCTAATCTAAAAGTGCTGCCGCCTATTGTCTCAAATTTGCGCTTAGCCGCCGAAGATGGCCACGTGTAGCGGATAAGCGCAAATGAATTTGCTATTTAGAATCGAATAGAGCATATTTTTATTTTTGTTAGTAACATTACCTAACTTCACAGTCTTGATAAACAGTTCTTAAGAAATTAAATAGGTATTTTTTTTATACATCGCGTGGGAGCGAGTTTTTAAAAATGTTGTCACTCCCAGCAACATGCACTTTGGCGGTTATGCTTCGCTATTTTTTCTTGCAAACCTCAGTTTTGCGGGCCGCACCGAGATGGTCCACGGGCCGCCGGTTGCCGACCCCTGGAATAAACCATCTAGAGATCCCTTTGAGTCTCTTTCTTTCATAATTAGAAATCAGCTAATTGACAAAAATACTAGACGAACTATGTTATAAAGAGATACATAATTACAAAATTAATGATTATATAAATAGTACTACCAAAAATTTAACAAAAATTTTGTATTTATTTCTTAATTTTTCACGCACACCACTCATTAAACGAAACGCGCTTAAACGGGTAATTCTGACGACGCAGCCTGAAAAGGATGCAAAACGTCAAAAAAGTAATAAAAAGACGTATTTTGAACCCGTTTAAGCGTGTTTAATTTAAAAATACTGTACTTTTAAGTACAAACCAATCAAGTCAATTATCATGTAGATATTTTGTATCTGCAGTCAACAATATTTTATTATTGAGGAATAAATTCACATGAGAGACAAAATGAGAAGAACTGAAGACCTAGCTCAATGAGAGTCCAGTGGTGGACTGATACAGGCATATGATGATGTGAACCGATGCCCATTGCTGAATCAAAGAGATATGAGAGATAGTCAGTTTCTATTGAAACTCATAAAATTTCTTGGAATAACGAAATCTTTGGTAAAATCTGTGAAATTACACCCGGTTTCTGAAAAGCTATTAAGGGATAAAATTAACTAACAAGCCCTCAAATATAATGTTAACTGTCAATGGAGCTGCTGAAGCCCTTGTGCCCAATATGAAAGCCTAATCAACTAATCACTGTTTCCGTTGACAGTTTTCAAATTTAGTTCAAAAATTGGTACGGCATTTACGGCAAGCGCCTTTTTGTGTGTCTACAATTTTTCGCTAATCTTAGTAAACTAAACTCAAATAGATTTAATAATGCTGTTAAATTGACATGCATATTAGTTGAACAATTTTACAGGCCTTTCAGAAATCGGGCTCCAATCTGCACTATCTTTAAACTATCAGCCAATTTGATTTCTAGGACACCAAAGTTTCTTTTTTACAAACTTTCCAGTACAATACGGTTTAATTTCGCATACAACGAGTAATGTTCTGAATAATCATAATTGACGTGACAGATATTGCTGCCTCCTGGTAACATAAAGTTCACATAATTTGTTTGGACCTTCACTAGGGACTTCAGTGTTTTGCTCTAATATTTTACCAAAGTTTTCTAAATTTCAATAAATTGAAAGATCAAGTTTTGACTTGCTGATAGTTGAAAAGTTATTCCGAAATTCAAACCTAATTTCCAGTTTTATCTAAAAAAAAATCTAGTGCGATGACAACTAAGTTCAAAGTTTATATTTCACGATTCATT